CCAGCTGGTCAGTGCCAACAGTCACACCTGTCACACCAGTCTACTTCTGTTAATGTTGCGAATCGGTCACACTACTACGCTTATGTTTATATCACAACAGAGAATCCTGACATCACAGACAACATGATACAGTGTTTATAACGAAGCCTCGTTTTTTCACTTTAAAAAAAATACTTGATCTAGTATTATGTTTTATTAAATACTGAAAAGGTCCCACCCCAACATTTTACTGTTAAAACAGCCTTGGGATCTTTTAAAAGTTATTTTTAGAGTTCTTTTCTAAGGGCTGCATGGTAGAGTTGACAGTGATGTGAGCTGAATAAGTAGAAAGCGGTCTTATTGATTATCTGACGTCTGTTCTTGTCTTCCTCAGCCGGATTTCCCATACAAGGATAACCTCCTCTCCCTGGACTCCAGCTGCCTGCTGCTCTTTGTGCTGGTCTTCTTCGCCTTCCTCATCATCCTCAAGGTGAATCAATTGGTTATTCACAGTGAAATCTGGTTTTATTCAGTGTGTTGGTTCATTTTATGTCTGTTCTACTAAAGCAAAATAATATAAAAGATGTCTAATATGTTGAGATGAGAAAATTTGTATTAGTTTCATGTCTTTGGATTCATTAATGGGGTGATGTGATGTGATTAACACAGAGAGCAAAGTTCTGTTTACCAGCACCACAGGCTCTGTCCTATTTAAATTCCCTCTGGTGCGTTTAGATAGGAAGGAGACACTGTGGTTTAATGAGTGAAGGGATATTAAGTGTTTATTGGCTGTTGAGTCACGCAGCCTGATTAAACCATAAAACTGAAAATGCAACCTTTGTCTCCAGGCTTACCTGATCAACTGTGTGTGGAACTGCTACAAGTACATCAACAACAGGAACATGCCAGAGATTGCTGTCTACCCGGCCTTTGAGACCCCTCCTCAGGTATGCAAGCTGCTGCTTTAAACACTCTCTGACTGACCACTATGAATTTTATCAGTATCAACTATCACAAAAACAATGCAGCAACATGCAATACTTGCGCCAAACCAGCAGGGGGCATGCTGTCCATACATTAACAGTCGGGGAAGCCAAGTGAGGACAGTCACTGCAGAAAGTGTTTATTGGTAGGAGTTTACCATGTCAGTGAAAAACATTAATTACCAGCAACATCTAGAAATATTTATACTAGACAGTTTGAGGCTCATTATTTCCAGCAGATTTTTACCCCCCAAAAAGTCTTAAAAGGTTTAAATGTTTTCACACATCAAAAACTTGAGTTTTACCGACTGATCATTACTTTGTCAATCGCTCAATTAACTTCAACAAAGCAAAACTGAAAGAACACAGACACAATTTAAAGGAAGACACAGACAACTGCACAGTGTAGATGCAGGTGTGCTCAAACGCCAGAGAGAAGCCACTGCAACGGGCACACGTTTCCAAGCACCTATTTTTCAGGCCGCGTGGCTGCGCCCTGAGAAACAGAGTTCAATTTTTGGAACACAGCAGGGCGCACTGCATGTCATGTGGCAAGGACCAACTAATCACAGCAGACAGATACCTTTCCCTTCTTCTGTAAATACCAGTTTGTGGTAAATATGAAGAAGAAGTTGATCATTTTAGTGCAGAGCTGCCCAGAGCTTTACATCTGACCCACGGACAATATTTTTGGTCTAATACACACTTATAAACAGAGCCTGGAAGAAGATCAGCTCTGCACTCAGGATTTCAGGTAAATAGGCTGTGATATGGTGCTTGTTAGGGTTGCTTAGCAACCTCAGACGTAACCTGCACTCTTGAAAGCTGGAACAAACAAGACACAAGAGTAGCACCCAGCGCCTGACCTTGTGTTTTTTTCCGGGCAGTTAAAGATGCTGCTTGTGTACTAAGACAATAAAATATTTGTTAAAAAGGAAAAAAGAACAATAGATTATAAAATTTAAAAAAAATCTATAGAATAAAAAACAAAAATAAATAAAATAGAGTAGAAATAAACAGCAGGGATAACTTCAGGTTAAAACAATTATTAAAACTTAAAATTAGGACTTTAATGTAACTCCCAAAAGAAAAAAAAAGAGCCAGATTGAAAATGTAGACCTTTTCATTTAATTCCACAATTTACGGGCATAAAACCAGAAAGCACTCTCATCTGGCCTTTTACGGGACACATGAGGAACATTTAAAAGTAAAGCAGTGGAGAACCTCAGTGATTCTGTGAGAAACACTTAAATCACTGTTTCATGTTGAACCTGTATGTTATAGATATTTATATAATTGTTTTATGCTTTGTTTTCTTCCTTGTTTCTCCAGTACATTCTGCCCACTTACGAGATGGCGATGAAGATGCCAGAGAAGGAGCCACCTCCCCCCTACATGCCTGCTTAAGCACCAGCCCTGTTGCCAAAACACACACATGCACACACACCACCACCATATGCATTCCTCCCTTCCCTCACTGACCCTTCTTGAACACCATTACGCCCTTAACCCCTCCCTCTCTTCCCTACTGTGTATGTGTAAGGCCACTGGCAATGTTTCTTTGAACCCTACTGTCTGTATTTCTACAGAGCGTCTATCGAGCATCTGGGAGGTTTGAGAGGAGACAGGTGGGAAAGACTGAGTGACATAAATAAATGAATGAGTGAATGTGATGTTTGAAGAGCCGTGGAAGCTACCAGCCCACCCTCCCAACCCTCTGGCCTTTTTTTATGTCTTAGTAAAAGGGATACATGTGAAAATTAAATTGCTTGAAATGTTCTCATTAATCCAGCACCATCCTATCTATAGATTGATATATGAAGTGTAAAAAAATATGACAATCCACTTATTCTAGCTCTTATTGTTGACTTGTGTTACTCCCCCCCCCACCCCCCCAATTATGAAGATCTAGATTATTCCATCTCAGTCTTGAATGGAGTTTGTAGCACTTTTTCATCTGTTATTTATTTAGCTTTGCTGTGGTTCAGTTCACTGCACCCCCACACCCCCCCGACATGTTCATCTCTCCCTGCTGCCGCGATGTGTTAGCACAGCTAGTGAATAGTTTCCCAGCTGAGAGACTGAGAGACAGACGGAGAGGAAGAGCGAGCAGAGGGCACTGATGATGGTGGATCATTTTCTCTGCTTCTTTCTCACCCCACATCTGGAGCGAACAGCTAGTCTTGTGAACATTAGTAGTTGCATGCTTATCAACAGCCTCCCCATTACTTTACTGGTAATATGATTTTATCCTAGTGGAAATACATTTGACTTCAATAAACGTTTCAGAACACTTATGTCTTCAGGACTCTTTTGTTCATGGCTCATATACTGAAGTAAATTTAAAAGACGCTAACAGGGGTTGTCTAAGTGTGTTGTTGAGGAAAATGATCATACCTCAACCTCAAACATGCACTTGTAGCTGTTCTGGAGGTTTCGATTGTTACATGATGTTCATCTGCAGATTGAGCTCACGCAGTTGTCATGGAAATATTCAACATGAACAGTAAAACATTTGACTGGAATTTGGTATTATTAAAACCTTATGTTGTCATCTTTTCACCAAATCCTGTTCCTACAATATTGTGTTGCTTAAATGTTTAATTTTACCCAACAACTTGAAGGTCCAGCGTGTAGGATTTACAGGGATATAATAAAAATGGAACCTAACCCTACAAATGGAATATAATATAATATCATAAGTATGTTTTCTTTAGAATATAATCACTTGAAAATCGTCACATTTCGTCATGGTAGAACAAGCCGTTTTAAATCACCTGGGATCTCATTTATAAAACAACTCCCCCAAGCGGTACTAAAATTGTACGTACGGACAAAAGCCAAAAATGTTGTAATTGCAAATGTTGTAACTTCTACAATCAGGCTTCCACCTCACCATGAGCATCGCCAGTTTCCTGTCTCCAAAATATTGGTAAGCATGGGTCAAAGTTTCTGTTTTTACAGATCACAACTTATGTGTGGGAAGTGGCATACGCATCTTTCAGGCCTCATTTTGCGCGTACACAATATGGTCCATTTGTTCTGGAGAGGAAGTGACCTCTGCAGATAGGTTAGCTCCTGTTAAAAACCTCCTTAATGCCTGGTTCTTCAGTTATTAAAGAAAGGTGAGCACATGTCAATTTATGAGTAAAATGTAAAGCAACTATTAGCAGGTGCTGGAGGCCCGTCTGCAATGAACCAAGCAGCATTGGAGAAACACTGATTTGTAACGTGAAACTGCTTTAATCAGTGTTTTTACCGGTTTAAATCACCTGGTTGGTTTGTTTTGGAGAGGAGGAGACCTCTGTGGATAAAAACCTCCTGAATAATAAACACTGAAGGAATTGTAACTGGGAGAAGTTTCGTCTCGTGTTCTAGCAGTTTGTCAAAATAAAATAAATGTCCTCTGCTACTTTCAGTTTTTATTGGCAGGGACAAATGCTCCTGGTCTACAAAATGAGGGGGACATGTCCCCTGTGTCCCCCCCAAAATGTACGCCTGTGGCTAGCTGGGGCAGTTTATATTCTGTAATTACAATATACAGCTTTTGGCTATTTATAAGCTGATTTCAATATTCTAGACTCAATATTTTATAAATATTACTTCATCTTGTGTAATAAAATAACAAAAACAATTCAGAGTTCAGCATTTAATCACCAAACATTGTTCCTGGCAGTGTGGTAAAGTCATTAAAACACAATTTAGACCGTGCTGGGGAAAATTAAGTGGTATAGTTAATTGAATAAATAAAATCTGAAAAATCGAATTAATTAGGAACATTTAGTGACATTTTTATTAGTGGAGAGTGGCGCATTTGAGGGAAGTGGCCTCAATCTGATTTAATTGAATTTGCAAAGGGGGGAAAATCTATCAGTATTTTTTTTTTTCTCCATATCGTTCAGATTTGTTTTCTATACCGTCCTCCATACGGTCTGTTACGGTGGCCCGGAGGTCATGCCCCACCTCTGGATTGGGTGCAGGGTGTGACGCATTGGGCTGAGAGCCCCTCATATGTGGAGGCAGTCAGACCCCCGCTGAGCTGAGCTGAGCTGAGCTGAGCTGAGCAGGACACACACGGACACCACCGGAGGATTCTGTGTGCACATGATGAAGTCTGTCCTCTGCAGCCTGCTGTCCTGCGCTTCTCTGCTGCTGTCTGATGTCCTGGCCACATACCACCTCAGTGTAGGGGACCCTCAGCTCATCTCCGCGCAGAGCTTCGCACAGAGCAGGAACAATGGACGACCACCGCTCAGGACCCTCAATCCTGCAAGTAAGTCACTGCAACTTTTGTCCAATATACTCTGTTTGATATTTCTTAAAGATAGTTTTAGTGGTACTTTATAACAGTGGTGGAAGAAGTGTGTTTTACTTAAATTAAAGTAGCTATATAGCAGTATAAAACACCTGTGGTGGAAAGTAACCTAATTTATTGCATTACATTTAGGCTACTGTGTACCTTAAAGGGGAACCTAAACCGAAATCAAGAATTACAGTATGTTATTTCCATGGTTTAGGAGAGTTTAATCAGTATTTGTGCACATCTCTCAAAGCCAGAAACCAGAGAAGTATGCCTCAATTTTGTGACGTCATAGATTAGTGGTTTTCATACTTTTTTTTTGCCCAAAGCCAAAATCTTGAGACACACCTGTATTTATATCTGTTCACAATAGCCTCTATAAGGTGTGTTATCACTCTTATCATGACATAAATGTTTGTTTTTATTTGCTAATATCAAATAACAATTTACAACCATGAAATATTTATTACCAAAATGATTCAAGAATTCATTTTAAACTTTTTAGAATTACATTAAAGCACTAATAACACATCCATTTAAATGGGAAATAATGTAAGATAATGTTATGTGTCACACACTTATAATTCCCATGTCCCACTGGCAACTGTGCGTTTTTTTTTTAAATTAAATTTATACTTTATTAGGAAATAGGTGCACACAACATACTGATACAGTCAATTAAAAGTTCATTCATAACTTGTTACATAGGCCCAGTTGAATATTGCAATAATAATGTGTGGTTATCACAAAATCCCACATGAGAACCGCTGTTATTGGGTATTAAGTTTGGAGCTGCTCCATAGACAGTGAATGGGAGCCTGATTTTGTGGACCCAAAGAATGTCTGTTCCTTTTTTATACATAAATTATCTTAATTCTGTTGTAGTGTTACGTCTGAAACAGAAAATGTTCCCATATACTCAGAATATTCCCCTCAGTGCTCTCACTGTCATCGAAAACATCATTCACCATTCATTGTCTATGGAGCAGCTCCAGACTTTTGAGTTTCAGCACTCTAGTTTTTGGAATTTTTGAGAGAGTTGTTCGTGTCTGCTAATATTTTCAGACTGTCTTAGACCATAAGAATAACATATGTGAATTTTGAAAATGGGTGTACTTCTCCTTTAAGTAAAGGTGGCTGTACATTACTTTACACTTAACAACGCTTCAGTGAGAGATATTGTACTTTTTACTCCACTAGTGTATTTGACAGCTTTCATTATTGGTTATTAAATTAGTAGCTTTGTAGCTTTCTTGGCAACAAATAAGTCTATGAGTTGTATGCAGCTCCAACAATTTCCCTTTTAAACATAAGCTGGTTGCATTTAAATAAATATTTTAGGCCTATAGATGGAAAACGCCTCAAAATTTCACAAAAATATAAATATCAGATAGTTGGGGGAAAGTCCAAAATATGACTACAAATGCATTGCAAAAATGTATTTCTTCTGTCCTCTCCCATAAATAATGAAGGGGTGTAAAGGGGTCGGACCCCTAGATTGAGAACCACAGGACAAAACTACCTAACATAAGATAAAGTCGTTAAAATAGCTCCACCTCAACCAGCTACAGCAGTAAAACACTAGTTAATCAATATAAACAATCTAACAATGTCATATATAATTACAAATAAATTACAGGGGCCAGTTGTCTTCAGTAAGAGTACCATTACTTTCATACTCTAAGTACATTTTGCTGATAATACATGTATATCTTTACTTTAAGCTAGATTTTGAACGCAGGATTTACACATAACGGTGCATTTTTACGTTGTTGTATTGCTACTTTTACCTAAATATAAGATCTGAATACTTCTTCCACCACTTAAACATTCAGAATGGTACTTTATTAAAAGTACAGAAGTATCATTAGCAAGTAAAAAGTACTTATTTATGCAGAAAAATTGTATTGTATTTGTAATTGTATTACTGTACGGTATATCAGATTGTTAGATTATTCTCAGTAAGATGCATTTTAATGTAGTAAATGGTCAAGCTCATCATTGGTTGTGTGTAAAATGTTCATTTGCAAAGTAACTATGAACTATAATCGTCAAATTAATGCAGTAAAAAGTACAATATGTCCCTCTCAAATGTCGTGAGGTCAATCTCTTGTCGCAAGCTATGATTTGTTTACATCAAAATAACGTGAATTGTTTTGTAAATTGTTAATTCTTACAGATTACATTTTGAAACAGTATTTTTTGTAAATTGACAAATATTGAAGACTAGACCTGAAAGAATAGATATTTCATCTTTCAAAAATGTTATCTAGCGAGTGATATAACAACCAGATTTGACACTTTTCTCAAACACAACATGCATGAAATGTTAATTTCTCACTGAGTGTTTCACAAGCGTTACACAGCATTATCCCAGCTTGTTGCAAACACCCCAGGTGGCTGATCTTACACTCATGCTTCCACTAATAATTTGTGTGTTGTTGTATATCTCACTACAACTTATTGTACAGTGTCAACTTACACAGCTTTCCTACTAATGTTCTCTATTACTTTTCCTTTCTGGCGGCCCTGTAGTTCACAGAAGTGACTACACGTATAGAGGAGGGTATCACTACCACTACCAGCCACCCAGGATCCCTCCACCGGTAGTGTATCCACCTTTTCCTCTGTCTCCTCCAGTGACTTACCACAGGCCCTCAGTCCCCGTGCCGCCCTATCACCACAGATTCAAAGGGCCACACATGCACCACATATACAAAGGTCTGTCTCCACCAGTAGCTCACCATCCCCATCACAGGCTCAAAGGCCCGTTCCCTTACAAACTGAAGGGTCCATGCCCCACACAGTCAGAGGCAACAGTGCCAACAGCACCTGTGGTACACCTCCCTACCGCCCCTCCGACTCTACCGGAGCCAACAGTGCAGCCAACTCTGCCAGCGACTACGGTGGCACCGCTGACAACCATCCTGCCAGTGGTGGTGACCACTGTGCCGCCAGTGGAGACCACCGCTCCTGTGACGCTACCGGTCAGTACCCAAAGCGGCTTCATCACCACCATCAGTCCTGTGGAGACAGGTAGAATATTACCAGTTAGGTTTGCTTTCCATCCCAACGTCCTCACTGCTTTACAGGTCAGATCTGTTTGTTTCACTCTGAGAGAGAATAGGAACACCACTCAGAGCAGATTTTATGTAAAGGAATCAAACACTTTGTGAGTGAGTGAAAAGGTTGATGCCACAATCATATCTGTCTGGTAAATATAAGCTACAACCAACAGCCTGCTAGCTTATCTTAGCATAAACTGGAAACATAGGGAAACAGTTAGCCTGTCTACACCTACCAGCAGAGTCCTGCACCCAAACCAGCATCTCAATGTGCAATACCAGACCCACCCAATCACCCACACATATGACCAATTAGTCCCGCAAAACAAGATTATGGGACTGTATTGCCTATATCTTGCATACAATGTTTATAAAAACATGTATTAGTGCCCTGTTTAGCTGTAAGAGCAAGAGTTTGTGAACAGGAAGTGAGCACCATACAAAAAAACTGAGATCAAATAGTAAAACTAACAACGCTGATCAAATATAAACCCAGATTCTGTTACTGAGTTGCCAATCTCTCACCTCAATTGTTTTCAGCAACATGTTTTAGTTTACTGTTTAACTGTAATACGAGATCGTTTCTTGCCTGCTGTCACCCATTGTTTTACACAGACATGTTCACATTACATCACCCACCAGCAGGAGCGTTCATTGGTCCGGTGCGGCATGCAGCATACTGGTAATTGTAGGTTTTCTACCTCTTAAGCAAAAGCATACTTTTTCTGTTTTCTGTGGTTCTGTAGCACCAATTTCAAAAGAAATTGCGTCTTTCTACTGCATAGACATCCACATTTTATTAAAAGGCTGTCTCTACAGCAGTGAAATACTTCTTTAAAATGCAACTCACATATTCCATCTGCCTCAGAGGACAGGGCTGACACACAAAGTCAGCAGTCAAAGGATTAAAATGTAAAATGTGGCAGAAATGGAATAGAATAGTCGTTACTATGAAAATAGCCACTTAAAGCTAAGAATCCTGTTTTCATTACCTTAGAATGAGCCGTTTATGTCTACATATGGAGCGGGTCCTTTTCCATTAAGTCCACCATGTTTCTACAGTAGCCTAGAACATACAAACCAAACACTGGCTCTAAATAGGGCCATTCACATTCTCGCAATAGCCACAGAGTTTTATTTCTACAGCCTCACTGGTAGATGCCTCTAAATCCTACACACCGGACCTTTAAATTAAATTATAACTACTTTTATTTTACTTTAATATGTTTATTATCTAACACCAGCAATCGTGCCTAGATTTGTTAAATCCAGAACCAAGACCGAAAAAAAATGATGCCAAAATACCACCTGTGAATCACTTCTATTGCTCGTCACCCATCGGGTATCCGCGGATACTTAACCTAACGCAGGACTCTGCCTTCCAGCACCGCTAAAGCTCTCTAATCAACATTTCATCTGGATAAACTTCATGTGGAAACACTGACTTTATATCAGACATTCAAACATCACATTCAAAAAATGTTTTACAGGGAATTTAATTGTTATTATTAAGAAAGTTTGATCTCTCTCATGACTCTCCGGTCATTTTTTTGTGTCATATGTAATTGTTGTAAATGAATGATGTGTGTCCCCAGTCATGTGCTAAGCTAAGATAAGCTAAGCTAAGCTAAGCTAACCATCTGCTGGCTGTAGCTTCACATCTACTACAGACATGAGAGTGGCATCAGTCAATATGCATTTTTCCTTAAATAACTATTATTATAGTGATAGAATCTAATGGTAGAATGATGGTATTTTAGTGGCAGGAGACAAAACAAATAGCTGTCTAAACACCATGAGTTTCCACTCTGTATCACTTCATCATCCATCCTATTGGAATTTATGAGATACGGACAGATTAAGACATCTGGAAACTGAAATCTAAAAATATATGCCAGAATATGCATTTAAAGTTTATAATAAAACAAAGCTAAAGCTGATATCATGTCTTAAAATTAAGGCAGATTTTTCTTCCAAAAGCAGAAAGGATCTGAGGAGATGTAGTTGAGTGTGTGTATGTGATTGGACAGGCAGGGCTGCTAACACTGTCTCCATCTTTAGGTATGATGTAACTTTTTGTGTGTGGACACTAGGCATCCTTTTCATTCAGGGAAATGAGATAAAAGGATATGTCCGATGATAAGTCTCTGATGGACTGTTGAGACACTGAAATGATACAGTATGTATGATGGCATACTAAATCATTTTACCCAAACCACAAGCTTTTATTTTACCACTGCAGTGATGCACAACAGTTTCCTTTTGTTACCATGGGAACCTGTGCTGTGCATCCCAGAGTGTCCTGTGTTTTGTTCTCACTGTGAGAGTTTAACTAACAAGCTTGAATGTGTCTCTGAATGATGAACTGGGTTTTGGACTTAATCCTGCCATGGTTTGGTTGATCACCAGAGACAGACTCTCAGTGCAGGAGCCGGCCCCTGGACCTGGTCTTTATCATTGACAGCTCTCGCAGCGTGCGCCCCGGCGAGTTTGAGAAGGTGAAGATATTCCTGGCCGACATGGTCGACACGTTGGACGTGGGCTCGGAAGCCACCAGAGTGGCTGTGGTCAACTACGCCAGCACGGTCAAAATCGAGTTCCTGCTCAAAAACCACTTCAACAAACCGGACATGAAGAAAGCCATCTCCCGCATCGAGCCCTTGGCGGCTGGCACCATGACCGGCCTCGCCATCAAGACCGCAGTTAACGAAGCCTTCACCGAGCAGTCTGGGGCCCGGCCTCGCTCCAGGAACATCTCCAAAGTGGCCATCATAGTGACAGATGGGAGACCTCAAGACCAGGTGGAGGAGGTGTCAGCTGCAGCTCGGGCCTCAGGCATTGAGATCTACGCTGTCGGGGTGGACCGTGCTGACATGCGCTCCTTGCAGTTGATGGCCAGCATCCCTCTGGATGACCACGTCTTCTATGTGGAGACCTATGGCGTTATTGAGAAGCTCACCTCCAAGTTCAGGGAGACCCTGTGCGGTAGGACAGAGACCTGCAAGACCTTTTTTTAAACCATTAACCCTGGTTCTAGTTCCTCAGTAAGGGGCACCTACAGTCTACAGGGGGTTTGTCGCAGATTTCAGATCATTTACTGTGTTATTGGTGAATTATAAACTCTGAAATCATGAGGAAAGATACCAGATGTGTTTAACCCCCACATGGACTGCAGATGTCGGCACTAGAACCTGCTTGTAGTCGCCAAGTTAATCCAAGGTAAAGTCTTGGGGCCGTGCAGCCCTAAACTTTCAGCTTCTTTTTTTAAAGGCAAAAAATGTATATGATGATCATCAGTAAATAGTTTTGCAATCAGAGCATCATGATGGTGATTGCTTTGAATTTATCCAGTTTTGTTTGAAATGATTTAAATCCACAGCAGAACCTCACTTTTTCAAAGCAATCTGGAAAAAAGACATCTAAACAAATGAGTGAAATACACTTCAATATGGACATATGCATAGACCATAGTCTTTATATGGTTTGGCTTCATTCTATCATAAAACAGCCTACATATAATTACAATACTGCATTCATATGAATTCAGAAAAACACGCTTTGTTGCTGGTGAAATAACTTATTTACATGACTAGATTTTAATTCACTTCTGTACAAGCAACCCAGTCTCTGGAATACATGTTGACACCGTACATTTCTGCAAACCACAGGTATGTTACATTTGTATGTTTCATATGTTGAAACTTATGTTTCATATGTTGAAACTTGTTGAAACTTAACATTTTTCCACATTGCGATTTTCAGTTTTATGTCGTGAAAACACTGTGGTTAATGTGTGGTTGGGTTTAGGCACCAAAAACAGTTGGTCGGTCATGTTTTGGCTTAAAATAAACGGCTGTTGACGGCACAACCACTGCTGGAAGTGTGCCGATGTTGCCTTGAAATTACCCAGTTGTTGTTGCAACAGCACCCCTGGAAATTTCCTCACATCGCCCTAAAGATACCTGGTTGTTGCCAGAACAACCACAGCTAGAAATATGCCCACATTGCCTGAATAAATACCCACTCGTTGTTACCACAACCACCACTGGAAATGTGCCGATATCACCTGAAAAAATATCAGGCTGTTGTGGCAACACCCACTGCTGGAAATGTACTGACAGTGCTGGAAAAATACCCGGTTGTTGTTGCCACAACTACTGCTGGAAATGTGCAAACATTGCCTTAAAAAGTACCCAGTTTTTGTTGCAACAACTACCACTAGACATGTGCCAACGTCACCGTATATAATACCTTCTTGTTTCTGCCACAGCTACCACTAGAAATGCACAGATGTCGCCTGAAAAAATACCAGGTTTTTGTGGCAACAACCACCACTTGAATTATGCTGACATGGCTTAAAAAAAAATAAAAATACCTGGTTGTTGTTGCCACAACCACCCCCTGGAAATTTGCCAACATCACCCTAAAACTACCCGGTTGTTGTCAGAACAACCACTGAAATGTGCCAGTGTTGCCTGAAAAAATACCCAGTTGTTGTCAACAACAGCTGACGTCAGCTAAAAAAATAAAAATAAACAACGGTTGTTGTTGCCATAAAAACTGCTTGAAACGTGCTGACGTCGCCTGATAAAAATACCCAGTAGTTGTTGCCACAACCATTGCTTGAAATGTGCTGATTTCCCCACAAAAAATAACCGATTGTTGTCGCAACCACCACCACAGGAGATGTCCCATCATGGTCTCGAACAGTGGTCTTCTGTTTGGCAGCTGTCTCTCCTGGGTCTCACACCATCCACCAGCTCATATACATGTGATCTGAACTACATCAGTTAGAAACATTGATATAATACATATGAAACATCCACGTAATGTATCAGTGGTTTGCTGAAACACACAGTGTGCCAGCATTTTCTTCTGGCGACTGGCCTGGTACAAGAACTTCAGAGATTTGGACAAATGAGGTTTTGCTGTTAACTTTTTCCATGTTACTGTCTGATGTTTGTCTTGTCCCCCTACTTATGAAATAATTTTATCATGTAACTGTCATTATTGTTATACTTCAGGGTTCTGTGATTTTACCTGTGTTGTCCAACACATAGTGAACCTAAGCAGTTCGCAAAAGACCTTGGCTGAGATGTGGTGAAGGTGTATGAACGGATCAGGTTTTTCACCACAAGTGACATGTGGTCAAGTACAAACACACAGGACAGCTTGCAAATATATATATTTTTACTTGTATAAGCAAAAAAATGAATCAGAAAAAGCTGATTTTACTTCTTTTTTGTCAACATATATTCTCCATCAGAAGAAGATACTTACAAACATCACTTGTTCAGTGGATTTTGCAACTACCTTACCCATAACAAGCTAGCTAACTTTAGCATACTGTATGTTAGCACATGACACATGACAGCGCCATCCCTTAATCCCGGTTTATTCCAGGTGTGGACCCCTGTGCCATGGGACACGACTGCGAACACATATGCGTCAACAGCAATGCCTCGTATTACTGCCAGTGCCGGAACGGTTATATCTTGAATGCGGACAAGAAAACATGTTCCCTGAAACGTAAGAACAAACTGTGTGGATTCCTGCAGCACATGTGGCTTCTTGCTGTGATATTAATGCTGCCTCAAATATATGTGTGTAAAAGCTTTTAAAGCAGTGTGCAGAATGTGTTTGGCTTTTAAGCAGGGCTTCACAACATCGCAACCAACTGCTGCATGATTCCTGACTCTATAATTCACTGTTGACTGTTGCATTTGTTGGACAATTATCGGGTAATATTATAGAATTGATTCACTATAATTGTTGTGGCAATGGTAACGTGATATTTTAAGAGTGTGACTGCAAGCTTTGGTTTGATTTTGGAAGAAGCAGAGTGGGTGGTATTATGTGTGCTTTTTCACTCTCAGCATGATCTGTTACGCTGATGTGAAATTTGCTTTCTCCCGGCAAAGAGGTGAAGGCGGTGGTGGTGGTGGAGGATCCCTGTAAATGTGAAGCCAGGCTGGCCTTCCAGAAGCAGACACAGGCCGCCCTCCAGCAGCTCACAGCCAAGCATATCCTTCCTGTTGTTTCAGATGGGAACCTTTTTATTATAAACATTCTCCGCGGCACATTTCTCTGACGTGACGGCTGATTACTTCAACCTGTTGGTGTTGTTATTGTAATATATATTAAGAGAGTGTCTTGTGTATGTTCTCATCACTTAATTGTGCCTGTGAATGAGTTTCCTTGACTGATCTCACTATCTGATGTGTCTGGGAGAATCGAGCGTCTGGAGAACATGGTGGGCCGTGCTTAAAGCTGCACACTGTGGTAGGTGTTGAGGTGCTGACAGCTTTTTTTTTCTGGGGATGATTTGTAGTAAAAGCCCGCCACCCACTGCACAGTTTGACCTTTTGTTTATTTACCCTCTGCAGAGACAGCTCGCCGGTTTACATCGTGGACGTGGACATGTGTTTCCTGTCATCCACCCTCCCAGAACTACTGTATGGACTTCGACCACAGATGGAGTGAAGCTGTGATTCCCCATAGTTACTGACTGTAGTGACTGATGAGTAACAGTATCTGTTGTTGAATGTGGGCATTAAATGTTATGTAACCAAAGAAAACAAGTATTATTTTCAGTATTTCTCATGTACTGTATCGTGTGTTTTGTGTTCTTTGTACAAATTTGCATATTGTATATAGTTTTTTTTATAGAATATCATTGTATTTACTTAGTAACCGACTTTAATAGAAAAATGACCTTATACTATGAAGCATTCAACCAGTAAAATGTTTCCAACTTTAAATATTTTTGCTTATTTTTTATTATATACTCTCATTTTCAACAATTTAACCATTGAAATTTTCATTGTTACAGGTTGTTTCATGATGATAAATGTTAAATTTGTGTGTCTGTGAATGTTATCAGATGACATGTAACCAAGCACATAAATTGGGCAATAAAGTAATCACTACAGAGGATGTTGTGTGCACTGTTATCTTTACGAGTTCTAAAATGAAAGGTCATGCTGACGTGACAATATTAATACCATAGACATTCATTCATTCATTTTCTGTAACTGCTTATCCTGTTAGGGGTAGCGGGGGGGGGGCTGGAGCCTATCCCAGCTGACACTGGGTGAGAGACAGGGTACACCCTGGACAGGTCACCAGACTATCACAGGACTGACACATAGAGACAGACAACCATTCACACTCTTATTCACACCTATGGGGAATTTAGAGTCACCAATTAACCTGCATGTCTTTGGACTTTGGGAGGAAGCTGGAGTACCTGGACAAAACCCACACTGACATGGGGAGAACATGCAGACTCCACACAAAAGGGCTCGCCCACCCTGGGTTTGAACCAGAAACCCTCTTGCTGTGAGGTGACAATGCCAAGCACTGCATCACTGTGCTTCCCAAATGTGGTTACATTTAATTATTGTTATTAAAGTTATTGCTTGAAGTGCCGACCATAACTAGTGAAATATGTGGCTCATGAAAGTTTAGCGGATTGTTAGGAGCTGTATGCAACATTCAGAACACACAAGCAAATAACTATTTGTTTTGTAATGGCCCGTATGTAGGTGTGTTCTTTGCACCCTCAATGCAGAACAACAAGTCAATGTAGATGACTAGAAGGCACTCTCAAAAGCGAGAGTGTTCCCAAGCACCTGTTTTAAGGATCCAGCCATTGTTCCCTGAGATAGACAGCTTTGGAACCACTAATGGACTCGGGGGGGGTCTGGTGCCACCTCGGTTGAAGACTCCTCGCTAAAGTGTCGTCTTGAGTGGCAAAAATGAGAGGATGTGCCCTTTTGGCTGCCCTCTTGAATGATGAAAACGAGTGGATGTGCCCTTTTGGCTGCCCTCTTGAATGATCCAAACAAGACGATGTGCCCTATTTGATGAAAACAAGCGGATGTGCCCTTTTGGCTGCCCTCTTGAATGATCAAAACAAGATGATATGCCCTATTGGATGAAAACAAGCGGATGTGCCCTTTTGGCTGCCCTCTTGTCCCCCATGTCATGCAGGAGATGCCCTTTTTTCCTTTTCGCCCCTGCCCTTCAATCATCCTGAGTCCGTCACTGTTTGGATATCAGTCTAAGACATATGGAGAAGAATTTGTTTATGTTAGTGCAGGGCTACCCAGAGATTTACACCTGTCCCAAACTTGGGATTTCTGGTAAGTAAGCTATGGTACAGCACTAGTTATGGTTGCTTAGCAATGTCAGGTGCAACCTATCTTCGTGCCCTTGAAAGTTGCTCAGAGAAGGCATAAGAGTAGTATCCAACCTCACATTTTTGAGTGGTAAAAGATGGAGCATTTGTCTCGGCCCTGAGGATATAGTGGAGTGATGGCATCCTGAGCAGAGAATGAAGTTCCGCTCCTTCTGTGTGTGTGTGTGTGTGTGTGTGTGTGTGTGTGTGTATCCCACTGGCTAGCTAATCGCTGCCGTTCTGCACTGTACTCATACAGTAGTTGCTGCTGATAACACGGTCCTGACCTACAGTGGCAAAGCAGCGGTGTCACAGAAGCAGAACGCCCACCCTCTGGTTCCCTCCCAGGTTAATACCATTAGCTCTGTCAGCACTGCCGCTGTTGTCAGCACCAAGGCCCCAGGAACACTGCCCGGCTTTGAAGCCAATTTGACATAGTGGCCCAACATGGAATTATAACCTCCATGTCCACCATGTGATGCCATCGAGCCCCAAAAGACTTTTCCCCATAGACTTAAATTGTGAAACAGACGTTTGTAAATTGGTGAATACATTTTTTTGAGCATCACAACCCAAGCAAAATGACTCGTTTCACTATCGGGATTTGATCCATTTAATCTGATAACATTTGAAAAGTCTAGAAGAGAAGAGAATTTTTATCCCTATTCAAGTTAGTGGAACGCTAAACTGGAAGTTAGCTCCTCAGCTGGCAGAAGTCTCGTTCACGGAAAATCGACTTAATATCTTACAGAGGAAATGGAGCTTTTTTGGCCTCATGTGCCACTGAGCAACTTTCATAGGAACGAACAAAGCCCCGCCATCAAAGTTGCATCCAGTTCTCTTTATAGACCCATGGTTAGCACCACTAGCTGCTAGCTGCCAGCTTAGCTATCTCCATATTGAGAGCCATGTGCAGACAATCCCGGCTCAGACTCTGAACCATAGATATGCTCTGAATGTTGCATACAGCTCCTTAAGACCTTACTATGATGATTGACCAATAATCATAAATTTTCTTATGAGGAGGAAAAGATTATTTTGACTTCTAATGATTCAGTTCAATTCAATTCATAATTCACAAACATTACTCTGATAAATCCCAAATTGTATCTTTATGAAACTTCAGTGAAGATCAAATTTTAGCCAGTACCATATTTGGCCGAATTGGCATATCGCTCTAAAATACGTTTCTGTAGATACAAAGGAGGCATTATATCAGTCACTCTTATATAACTGTACATTTTAATGCCATGTATGTGTTTCTGTGTCAATATAGAAAGTTAAACACGATGGATGAGCTCTGACATTTCTATTAACAATGTGTTATAATTTCCTCTGGCTTCACAGAAACAGTCAAAGTACTCTGATACCTGAGGTCAGGGGAAGATCACTTCCTATCCATGAACACTTTTTACTTAAAAACACATATTCAGTCAGTAAACCTATAAAATAAAGCTGCATTACAGAGCTTTTAGTTTGACTGACCTGATTTGATAAATTAATTTGGAGGGTTGATTATTTCAACAACTTTCTTATACCACCATCTGTTTTTGTACTCTGTTGTCACCACAATGTCTTCTTTACACCCTCAGCGTTGCCAAGAAAAACAACAGACAGGGGTCATCATGTAACCTCTGGAATGAGTCGGCTTATTTGCCCGAGACAGCGCTGACAACAGAGCTCCTCTGTCTGCTCCGTCTGTGTGAGGCAGAGAGTCAACACGCCAACGTTTACCTCCAGTCTGGCTTGGATCCTCTCCCTCCTTCCTTTAACCAGACAGCTGCTTTATGTTTGTTCGCTATGTCAGTGGCTTTCATGGTTACCACACACACGGGCGGTCGCTGAGGTGAGCCCACCAGTGTTTAGGGGAAGAGGATGAATGGGATTGACACACCTCTGAGAAAGGAAAGAGACACATAAAGTGCGGCATGCATTCCTGCTGCAGTGGCGCCCCAAGACATTTTTCATAGGGGTGGCCAGGTGAGGCTACTGAAAACTGAATTTCAAGAATTTTATTATACTGCTGTAATATAGGGTGGTTGAAAACTGTGTCAATGAGAGTTCAGAATCACACACTGATATAATTTGGTTTATTATTTACAGGTAAAGCTGAAGTAGGCAGTTTGATTTTGGCTTTATTACTCATAATAACCTTTGGGCATAGTGTAATTCGAGTGGACTAAGAGACCTTTAGACTTCTGCTCCTCCTCTTGGCTCTGTTTTCAAGCTGAAGAAACTCTAGGCCGTGACGGAAGACTTTGGCCAATCACAGGTTGCGTATGCTGCAACACAACCACAAAAAAAAGGAAGACGGACTTATCAAAAAGAGGGTCTACAAAGAGTCCATATCGGCAAAGCATTTTAGAGATGGACAAAAAACGTTGATATTTTTTAGCTGTCTGCTAACTGGAGCTAAAGGCTAATAGCATCAAGTTCACGTCTATGTAGCTAATGTAAGCTAGCAACTCAAATCACAGTGTGTCCTCCAACTCACTCCCCACAGCTACAGTCCACCTCACCACGAGGAGAGGTGGCAACAAGACCCCCAGTCAACAGCCATAGCAAACCAAATCCAGCTAGCGCGACTTCCTGCTGGATCACCTAACAAGCTAGACCCACTGTGACACCAGGCGCTAGGAGGTTTGCCCAATATGAGCCGCTACAGCCGCCAACTAAAGGCTTATCTCGCAAGCTACTGCTAGCTCGTCTCCTAGGGAAACAGTTTGCAACGACAAAGAGTGAGGCGAAAAAGATAAAATAAATCAATGTATGTGAAACACTTGGTTACTGTGTGAAGGCCATGCTTTTGGCCGTGGTCGTCTGGTGGGAGGGGCTTATGACAGAGAGGGAGGGGCTGCAGGAGGAGGTGTATTCTTAATTTCTGATGGTTTTTTTCCCCCTTTTCCAGATTTCTGCCGACACTAGCTTTAATGTTACTAATTATTTAATGCGCGTAGACTAATACTGGTGCACTTGAGTCGAGGGGCGGGCAGCGATTGAATGAGGCCACTCTTTCGGGGCGCCATTGTCATGCTCAGACAGTTTAAGTGAGACAAGTTGAGGGTAAATTTTTGGTTGAACAAAAAAGTGTCTTTATAGCTTTAACATTTAATATTCCTCAGCTGATCTCTACTAAAAGCAATATTTTAGGATATACACTTATTCACTTTCATGCTGTGAGTTAGATGAGAAGATTGATACCACTCCAATGTTTAAATATGAAGCTACTAATGACTGAATACTGATATTATGACACTAATACTCAGGTAAAACACGATTAATATGTTTCCAGAAAGGATAACATTATAAGAAAAGGGACAACTGGAATTCAACAAAATTAAGTCCTACTATGTTAAATAAAGTAGAGTAAAGAGCAGAGTAGTAAAGTAGTGTCTGTCAGTGAAAAGGATAAAGGTGTGTGATAAATGTGTGTCCAGGTTCTGCCAACCCAAAGTGGACTTTGATACTTTGTGTTAAGTCTCTCAGCAAACAGCAACATTTAGGGTGCAAGAAGAAGCACCCGCTCCTGCACTGTTGAACATAACAGTCTTTGCTTCAGGTGTCCAGGTCGCCCGGCTCTTGCCAAAGTAAACATCATAAGACTTTCCATAGCATTACAGCAGCTGCTTTAAGAAGTTTTAAGCAGCCTCACATAAACAAATCTGACCTCTAATGACGGACACAGTGGAACCAGGTAATCCTGTCTCATTTGAGGGGAGACACTACAGGTATACACACAGTTTTGTCATGCACT